GTTTGGAAAGGAACTTGAACTAAAAACCACCAAAAAGCTATCCAGAAAACATTGAGTGTACATTAAGTTTTGTGATTGTTCCCACATCCCTCCTAATACTCAACCACAGCTCTGTGCTAGAGGCTAAATAGCTTCCCTTTCAAGTGCAAAATAAAAGTATTGACAAACAGTAAGAGAGGAATGTGAATTTTGAGGCTGTATCTTCCCTCAAACAAGAAGGTGGTCCAGCTCCAAGGCTTTTCCCAATACAGTTTTATCCTGCTCATGATTTTTTTGTATTTTTTTCCTTTGCTCTTCCCCATACAGGAAATAAGCCTACGGCTCTCTCACACTTTAATATGCTTGTCATGCTGTCTGTGCAGAAACGTTTCAGACTCTGTACTCAGCACTTAATTTCTCAGTCATGTCTTTTCAAGGACTGGCAGCCTGCAGGATAACTTTAAAAATCATATATTTGATCTTGCAGCAATCCTGTATACTGGAGCTGTCTTGAACCTCTCATGCTTTCTTCTGGTGCCACACTGTAACAGCGATCTCATTTCTGTCTCCTTGCAGGTGTTCAGTTTCCTTGCAGGGCCAAAGGAACTACTCTACAGTTTGCAGCGTGGGTGAGCAGATGGGGTGGGTGTGCGCAAGCTAAGCAGCCTGTGGAATTTCTGAACAGAGCCTTCGCTTGTGTGGTCACTTTCGACTTGCAGGGGACTGAAGTAAGATCATCCTTCTGGCCTTGTATTTCTATGTTCCTGTTCTTCTATTGCTTTTATTTTTAAATAACAATTGTTCTGGTTTTACTATTTAAATAGCAAATGCAAGTGTTTTGCAAAGTTTTGGCTTCCTGAAAAGGGAGCTTCCCCTTTGAAATCTACTTTTCAAAATGTGCCAAGTCATTCCCTCGGCAAGTTTCTGTTTCAGTTTCCACTTGCTTTTCTGAGGCTGAGTTTCCATAAAACCGGAGAGTTTCAGTTTTCAAAGTAATTTCTGTTGCTTTCATTTTTTCTTTTTTGTTTCTTTTCCCCTACCTAAAGTTGAGAAAAGCATTCTCTTATGCTGCTCATGAAGCAGCCTTGCTGTTTGGGAGAAAGGGCCTGGTCGCTGCAAGTGTGCAAAGTGCAGAGCACAGAGTGAAGACACCAGAACTGTATTTCAGCGAGCAGCTAAAGCAGGGGCAGTCATCTTGCTTATCAGCATGAGACTTGGCATGGACTTTCTTTCTGAGAAGGACAGGTAAGAGCAAAAGGTGAAACAGTGCTCATACAACCTGCTGGGTACGATTTTCCCGTGCAGCCCTAGTTTGAAAAAGAGGCCAGAAGCAGGAGGCAATGGAAAGCCGGGCACGTTACTGGGGGTCAGCGGAACTAAATCACTGTCAGTCCCTGGTCCAGGGACTTTAAGCTTGATCAGGTAGCTCTAGGCTGCACTGCTGACTGCGGTGTAGACACATGTGCACTCTTTTGGAAAACTAGCTGCACGATATAATCAATCCTCTTATTTGATGCACAGTGTTCCAGTTAAGAAAAAAAACGATGATGTATGCTAACCACTAGAGTTAGCAGCAGTCTGGGTTCAGCCTTGCAGACATCTCCTGAGCAGAATATGACTCATTGCTCAGGGACTTTTTTTCTTTTAACCATCCATGTTATACCGAGTTTGGGGAATTCCAGTGTGATGAAAGCAAAATTTCTCACTCTATTTCACTGCCACAAGTTTATGAGGTTTGGTGCCTCCATTTTAAGACCAGCTTGGTTCAGATCAGTTACATCAACTGACCCACTGAAGCCCTGAGAGGTAGACAACCTTAGGTTCTGGTGGCCAGATGCCTCACTCTGAGAGAGAAAGCCGGAAGACAAAATGAGCCAAAGTTTAGGTCCAGCACCGGCCAACATACCTTTAAGCTACATTTATGCCTTCCTGGGTGAGACACGGTACAGGGAGCAGCCTGTAGACCAGGGCTTGTGAGAGCATGGACCTTTCCTTCCTTCGTGTCTTGGCTGTGCTTCTACTTAACTGCAACCTGGGAAAGACGGCAAAGCCTATGCCACTGCTGTGCTGCTTTTCTGAAAGGCAGACATGTTATTCTCCTGTATATGTGGAACCTGGCCAACATATGACAATGAGCAACACACTTTTGCAGTATGTCAGATCTGTACACAGGTGGTACAGGCACATGTCATTTGTACAATGCTATGCCTGAATCGGTTCATAGAGGCACAAGTCTGGTACATGGCTGTTAAACCATACAGCTACAGCACCCTGAAGTTTCTCCTCTGAAAAGCAGCACAGTGTGGGGATTTTGGCAGTGTAGCAATGGCAAGATGATTGATGAGACACTTAGAAAATGCAGAAAAGTTAGAGGCAAGAGGCTCCAAAGTGGGGTGGAAGGTTTTTCCAAGTGCTTAGCATCTATCTGGTGCTGAAGGCTTGGGGGAGTGCTGTACAACCTAAACTGACACTGGGCTTGGCAATCAAACGTGCTCTATGGCCTTCAGACCTTCCACGGCTTATGAAAGACCTATGAAAGGCTTAAAGTTTTTGAAGCTAATCTAAGTCCTGCATTTCATTTCAGGCTCCTGCTTAACACTATATGCAGATTTCTAGCTGTTTTCAAGGGCCACGTGCTGCCCTCCCAGGCACCTCACTTCCAGCAGTGTGACCTAGAGCAGCCCCACACAGCCGTGGGTGCCCGGCGTTGCCCAGGGGTTGATGTCCACCCAGCGGCCATGTTTTGGTTTGGCCTGGATAAATGCCAGGTGCCACCAAAACCGCTCTATCACTCCCCCTCCTCAGCTGGACAGGGGAGAGGAAATATGATAAAAGGCTCGTGGGTCGAGATAAGGACAGGGAGAGATCACCCACCAGTTACTGTCACAGACAAAACAGATTGAACTTGAGGAGAAAAGGGAGTTTAATTCATCACCAATCAAATCAGAGTAGGATAATGAGAAATAAAACTAGATCTTAAAACACCTTCCCCCCACCCCTCCCTTCTTCCCAGGCTCAACTTCAATCCCGTTTCTCTACCTCCGCCCCTGCCCAGCGGCGCAGGGGGACGGGAAGTGGGGTCTGTGGTCAGTTCACCACGTGTTGTCTCTGCCACTCCTTCCTCCTCAGGGGGAGGACTCCTCACAGCCCTGCCAACAAACCTGCTCCAGTACGGACTCCTCTCTCCACAGGTCCGCAGGTCCTGGAAGGAGCCCGCTCCAGCACGGGCTACCCGTGGGGTCACAGCCTCTTTCAGGCATCCACCTGCTCTGGTGTGGGGTCCCTTCCATGGGCTACAGGTGGATATCTGCTCCACTGTGGACCTCCATGCAGGGGGACAGCCTGGTCTTCATCACGAGTTGCAAGGGAAGACTCTCTGCTCTGGCATCTCGAGCACCTCCTCCCCCTCCTTCTTCACTGACCCTGGTGTCTGCAGGGTTGTTTCTCTCACATCGTCTCACTCTCTTGACTGCCATTTTTACCGAAGTTTTTTTTCCCCTTATTAAACATGTTCTCACAGAGGCACTACCACCGTCCCTGACTGGCTTTGCCGTGGTCAGCACCAGGGGTGTCTT